GCTGCCTCCATAGTCTTTCGGAACAACAACCCTGCCTATGCTGAGGAGCTTCTAACTCATGCCTATCAGGTCAGCGCGATTTTTACATGACTTTAAAAGAGTAACATAAAGTAAGAATGCAACAATAATTAACAGATTACATACTATTATACACTATCAGATCACTTAAAAGATAAGTTATTCGTAATTCTGGTGGTACATTACATTATTTGTCTCTACATTTCCATAACTTGTGGTTTGCTGTTGTTTTCAGTTATTCGAGTTTGCGGACAAATACAGAGGCAAGTATGATAGCAGTATTACTGTGGCCCAGAAGTACTACCGATCTGTTAGTGGATATGCGGTATGTGTGATTGTTTCATGTAGAAATACTACTCAAATCTCTTTGTTAAATTGTATTCATCTTGTCATTTTCACAACATTTAATCAAGAAACTTTTGATTTTAACAGGATGAATTACTGTGGGCCGCTGCCTGGCTATACAAGGCATCTAACAAGCAATATTACTTGAACTACCTAGGGGAGAATGGCGATGCACTTGGTGGAACCGGTTGGTCCATGACCGAATTTGGCTGGGACGTCAAGTATGCTGGTGTCCAGACTCTTGCTGCTAAGGTCAACCACCGAAAACCCTACATTTTATTTCGTAATATTCTTGAATAATACTCTGTAGGTACAATGATAGTACTAAAATGAACATATAGTATCTGCCTAACCAAAAGGCTATATAGAGTATTTTGCTCCAAATCTTAACGTACACACTAGCTCCGCCCCTGTTACTATGCAAATCATTAACCTATTTGTGTATATAATTGCAGTTCCTAATGCAAGGGAATGCTGGTAACCATGCAGCAGTCTTTGAGAAGTACCAAGAAAAGGCTGAGAATTTTATGTGTGCATGTCTTGGTAAGGGTAACCAAAACATCCACAAGAGTCCAGGAGGTCTCATTTTCAGACAGAGATGGAACAACATGCAATTTGTCACAAGTGCTTCATTCCTTGCAACTGTTTACTCTGACTATTTAGCATCTGCTGGAAAATCCCTCAAGTGTGCATCCGGTCCTGTATCACCACCCGAGCTCCTGGACTTTGCCAAGTCACAGGTAAATTTATACTCCCTCCGTTTCATTTTTATGTGTCTTAGTTTGACTGGGAACGAAATTTAGGAAAAGTAAGGAGTACTTTGGATCTTATGGTGTTAAATATGTCAAGTGGGATGTTGGAGTTAGAGTTACTAAATATAGAAAGTGACATTCTTTTTTAAACAGACTAGAAATATGTCAAGTGGGATGTTGGAGTTAAAGAGTTACTATTGGTTAAATTCTTAAGCATGTTTTATCGTTTTAGGTTGACTACCTACTTGGAGATAATCCAAGAGCCACAAGTTACATGGTGGGATATGGTAACAATTACCCGAGACAAGTTCACCACAGAGGTTCCTCGATCGTCTCTGTAAAGGTTGATCCTACTTTTGTTAGCTGCCGTGGAGGTTATGCTACCTGGTTTAACAGAAAGGCGAATGATCCCAATCTTCTAACCGGAGCCATTGTTGGGGGACCTGATGCCTATGACAACTTTGCTGATCAAAGAGACAACTATGAGCAAACCGAACCAGCTACCTATAACAATGCTCCCTTGATTGGTGTGTTAGCTAGACTTCATGGTGGTCAAAGTGAATATAGTCAGCTCCTTCCAGGTATTCTAACACAAGCAATAACATACTCAAATTTGATCCGACCCTCCCATTTGCTACCTCTCATTCTAAGTAAGTTGTTCGAAGTTCTTGCTAACAAAGAGTTTTCCTTTTTAACTTACAGTTGCTATTCCTCAGCCAAAACCAGATCCAGAGCAAAAAGTAACTCCAGCTCCAGGTACTTAGACTATCTCTTCTTGTGGCACTTAGAATTACTTGTGTAAATAAATAACATAACACATAAACAGACACTTAAACATAGCCTCAACTGACGAGTAAATACTCCAACTTTGAGTATGCACATCTAGACACTTCAACTCGTCTCCACTGAGTCAGTTGAAAATACCTCCAACTTACCAAATGATCATCTAGACACCTCAAAATTTATGTGTCACGAGACACGGTGGGAACGAGTTAGAATGCTTAGTTGCCAGTTGAGATCAAGTTGAGGTGTCTATGCACTCAGAAAGTTAGAGTCCTTACTTGCCAGCGGAGGTCAAGTTTGAGTGTCTGTTGCACAAATAAATTGTAGCTATAATATTTTTTTAGAGAGAAACCTAAATTGGGATTTCGTAATATCTGCAGCTACTGACATTGCTATTGAGCAAAAGGAGACAACTTCATGGGTTCGCGAGGGAAAAACTTACTACAGATACTCAGCAATAGTAACTAACAAGTCTTCTAAGACATTGAAAAACTTGAAGCTCTCAGTATCCCAGCTCTATGGTTCCCTCTGGGGTCTTTCAAAGTACGGTGACTCCTACGTGTTTCCAGCCTGGATCAACTCGTTACCAGCTGGAAAAAGCCTCGAGTTTGTTTACATTCACACTGCTAATTCTCCTGCAGTGGTCTCCGTATCAAACTACACTCTTGACTAAAACGCGAGAATTTTCACTTCTCGAGGGGTTTAAATGTAAGATTTGTGCAGCTTGTTTGTAATTTTTCAACTTCTGGTTGCTTTGTAGTTTGAGTTATTAGTGTTTTAGCTGATGAAGTAAGGCGGATATTTGGACGAAGAAAGGAGCGAAGAGACGAATTAAAACAAGTGCTCATCCTCTTTCTTCTCCATTTCATTGTCACAAGATCCATAGTCATGTATTTGAAAGAAAGTTGCTTCTCCACAGAGAGTTCATAGATGGAAGTCTTCATTTCCTTTGTAATTTACGCAACTCAAGGTTTTCGTGTTTATAATATTTTCTCCTCTGATTCATGCCTTGCAAAATGTTCCCATGGCGTAAGCTCTACTACAATATTACTTACTTTGCACATACATTTTGTCCAAATACAAAATCTGCTTTGATATGTTTTTCCTTGAGCCGAAGGTCTATCAAATATAACCACTCTACCTCCCAAGGTAGGTGTAAGGTCTGTGAAGTTCTACCCTCTTCAAACCTCACTTGTGGGATTATACATGTATGTTGTAAGAACCTAAAATTTAAACTCATCAAATTAAAATTCTGGATCCGCCTCTCGGATTGCTTAAGTTTTAGCCATCAAGGCACTCGATATATATAAAAAAAAGTCCACTTATCATTCCCATGGCTTTATCATTAAGCAAGATTATACTTTGCATTAATCTTCATTGACCTTCAATGCTCTAGATCCACTCAAACATACCTTTATCCATATCTACGTTAAAGATATTTTTAGTAATAATTCTCAATTAATTAATATTACACGTCAATTTATATAAACAAACTATATTTGGAATAACAGAGCAAAAATGGAATCAGTTAACAACAAATTGTTTATTTTTACTCTGTTAATCTCCTCTTTCTTCATAATTTCCAATAAGTATCCGTTATTTCACCTAGTAACATCTTCATCAATAATATTCGTCGAATCAAAACTACATACATCTCCACTTCGATCCAATACAACAATACCTCGATTGGCGTATTTGATATCTGGTTCAGTAGGCGATGGGGAACGGATAAAGAGGACGTTGAAGGCGTTGTATCATCCGTTAAATCAATACGTGTTGCATTTGGATCTCGAGACTTCTGATGAAGAGAGAAATGAACTTGTGAAATTTGTGAAGAAAGAGGCTCTGTTTGTGAATGTGAAGGTAATTGAGAGATCTAATTTGGTTACTTATAGAGGTCCAACAATGGTGAGCAATACACTTCATGCTGCTGCTATTTTAGTGAAGGAAGGTGGTGAATGGGATTGGTTTATCAATTTGAGTGCTTCGGATTATCCATTAGTAACACAAGACGGTAAGTCCCGCGATTTCAAACTTCTTTATAACGATGTTGTTTGTTCAAATTTCTGATGTACACTATTAAATAGTTCAGGGGTAAAAAATACGGTATTAAATAGTCTATAGGGAGGTAATAGGTCCTCATGAAAGTTTAGTATTGCAGCAGCAAATTCGACCAAAGTTGATATTTTTCAGACCCTTATCCCATAAAGTTATACACTACTACCTATATATTGTGTACATATTTAGTAAATCAAATGGCGCAACGATATTGAACTGTAATTTTCTCTAAAATAAATTTTATTGGCGAAAATAATTAGCTTGGGACAATTATTTTAACATATTTTTTTCGAAACAATATAGTAGGCAATTGATTTTTTTTTTTTTAATGATGTGTTCAATGAAATTTTCATAACTGGGTGCTTCCATTAAAAAATGAAAAAATAGATTTTGCCTTCGCTTTATTCACCGTGGACTTTTTGCTAATTAATCTGATTTTTTGTTGACAGATTTGCTTCACAGCTTAAGGAATATTCCAAGATATCTCAACTTTATTGAGCATACAAGTGACCTCGATTGGAAAGAGTATGTGAATAATTAACTTGCCATTTAATAAACATATTGTTAATTAAAGAAAGAGATATTGAAAAAATTTCTAAATTTATCACGAATTATTAATTTTTTCTTCGAATTATTGACAACCTTAAAAACACTCATCTACTTGACTAACTGAACGTAAATGAGATTAACTACTATCCACTGACAGTGGACAAGAAAACTACACTCAATTCATTTTTAGAAATACTTACTTCTCCTAAATAAGTATATCTAAAAATAAACTGATAGTGTAATTTTCTTATCCACTGTCAATGGATAGTAGCTAATCTCAACATGAATAACCTCTGATCTTGCCACATGAGTGAAATACACCCCTAAATTTTCGCAAAATTTACAGGTGTTTTCAACAATTCTCTCAGTTTTTAATTAAGAGTCTCATGCTCCTACAAAAGTTTGAGACCACTTGCTAAGTCATGTGGCAGATCGGGGGTGTATCTAAGTTTAATTAGTCAAATAAAGGGTACTGTTTTAAGATTGTCAATAGTTGAGGAACGAAACTAGTAATTTATGTCAAGTTCAAAAGGATTTTCAATAATTCTATCTTAGTTAAATAATTAGTAGTAATTATTGGATTTAATCAAATGTCTATTTATTTATGTAGGGAATATAGAGCCAAGCCTATAATAATTGATCCAGGGTTGTACAGCTTGAACAAATCAAATGTCTTCTTTGTTGAACCACAAAGAAGTGTGCCAACATCGTTTAAATTATTCACAGGTGACAATTTATAATTCTGACGTTTGATTAATATATGAAAAAAAAAAATCAATTTTACCATACCAAACATAAATTTCTTTTTTTTTCGTAAGATTAACTTATAAACTCAAAATTTTAGCTTCATCTGTACAGGATCCGCGTGGATGATGCTCTCACGGCCCTTTGTGGAGTACTTATTGTCCGGGTGGGACAACCTCCCGCGAACACTCTTAATGTACTATACTAATTTTCTCTCTTCACCTGAAGGATATTTTCAAACTGTTGTATGCAATGTCCAAGAATTTATAAATACTACGGTGAACCATGACCTTCATTATATAGCATGGGATAATCCTCCAAAGCAACATCCACACTATCTTACGATGGATGATTATCGGGAAATGGTCGATAGCAATGCACCGTTTGCTAGAAAATTCGGGAAGAACGAATTGGTGCTTGACAAGATTGATTCCGAGCTTTTGGGGCGTAAACCTGATGGTTTTGTTCCTGGTAGTTGGTTTGGGGATACTAACGTAACAAACATAACTTTATTGCGACCTGGATCAGGTGCTGAAAGACTAACAAGTTTGATATCTGATTTTTTGTCTGATAAAGATTTTGATAAAAAACATTGTCTCTAGATATACGAGATAGTTTCTAAAGATAGTCACTTAGCGAATAGTAATTATTATTTCATAAAATCATTTTCTTTATTGAAAAAAATTAAAATCAAGAAGAAATGTGATTTTTGAAATAATAACTACTAATTTAAGTGATCATTTATCAATCCCTAAATGTATGTATAATCGTATTTGAATATAATGGATTGGACAAATTGTTGCTAGTCAATGCCCCTTAACTCATGCTTAATTGTTTCACCCACCAATCCATATTAATTTGTTCAAACTTCATATATCTATTCAATTACAATCCTCGTTAATTTAGTGCATTATCTCAATTATAAGTGAGTGTATTATAACCTTATATCTCTTTTTTTTTTAAACGAATACATTCAACATGTCATCACCTAAAACTATACTACTATCTTTTGTTGTGATAATTATAAGAGAAGTTGATTTTTTTGTTGAAAAACTACGTTATCGAACATTGCCAAAAGACTGATGAAACTTATCAGAAGTTAAAGTACAAAAATCGCACATTTTATTAAGAATAAATAACTTAAAGATGAAAAACATGTGATGTAAACTTAATGACCAATTAAATCAACGTATGATATCAAAAAAATAATTAAAAGAAAATAATACGAGCTCTTCTTTATATTCTCATTCAACCATGAGAAATATTAAAATGTATTAACTGGCATTCGTCGTTTGGCTGTGTGAACTATTCACTTTTTAAAAATATTTTTTATTTTATTTGAAAATTAATATTTAACCATACAAAATTTAAATATAATTTAAAATTATATTTGAAATTTGAAATATACTCAAAATTTTATTTTCACTTTCACTATTTATATAAATGGTCCTATACCAAATAATTTACAAAAATTATAACTAAACCCAACTCCATATTCATCTTCAACTTCAATTTCAATTTTTTTAAATAAAGATGAAGATGAAGATAAATTGCAATAGTATGTAATACCTTATATATAAAATCTAATTTATGACATTATATGGTTATTTTATTGAGTTAATTCTCTTATATAGCAAATTTAATAGTATATTTCAGATATATAAATAAAGTCAAGTGTTTTTACTAATATTTAGAAATTGAAAATCATATTTAAAATATATACATTTAAATTCTAAATAATATTTACAAAATATATAATCAAACACAATTTAACTAAAAAATATAATAAAATAAATAATTTTAATTTTCATGGCTAAACGCCTACTAATAATTCATACCATGGAAACAAAGAGCATTTTGATTTAACAAAAATCAAAGCAATAAAGCAATATCGGTCCTATACCCAACCCGAATTGGAAACATTGTTTTGGATAAGTGATAACATAAGGACAAATTGCATATTCAATCGATCGATTAAAAATAATTATATTTATTAATTAAATATTATATATTAAAAATGTATATTTCATATATGTAATACAAAATGTATTTATTAGTTAAGTATTCTTTTAATAAATGCTATTTATATCAGTTTCTCATAATAATAAGTGTTGTTTAAAAAATAATATCAGTGTTCGATATTTATAATAGATCTCAATTAATTTAGATTCAGGAATAACATTTCTGAAGCGGGGCCCTTAATATATATTTTCAATACCTAAAAGTTAGAGTCCAAGTAATTAATAATAGAGAAATCCACAATTATCTTACCATCACATGTGTTGTTGATGTGAAGTATATTGTATAATAACTTTAACATAAAATGTACGTATTTTTAATCTATGTTTGGTTGGAGGTATTAGGTAGTTCTTAAATTATTCATTCATCATTTTTGTAATAGTGATTAGATAAGTTATCTCATATATACAGTGAAATAACTTATTTCAAGATTATTAATTCCAAAATAACTAGTTCCCAACTAAACGAAGCGTAATTTACTACTCTCTCCTTCCCTTTTTACATGATACCTTTTTTTTTAAAAATATGAATGCCATTTTATTATTAAAAATAATTTAATTTTAAATTTTCATATTCATTATTACTGAAATAATTTATCATAACACAAATATCTACTTATTGTTTTACATCATAAA